GAACATCAAAAGGTCTCAACAGTGTGCAAGTATCGAGTCATTTTCCACTCACTGTCAGTGAAGGAAGAATCCACCGCAGATTTTTGTCACGTTAGTTCTTTTTTTTTTCTGCCGGAGAAAAAATGGCGCTCCCTGTGAACTTACCTCCCAAGTTCCCGTCTTCCCACCTCAAGGACCAGGCTTTCCTCCATGCGTCAGGAAGCGAAGACTTCTCAATTATTGCTTCGCTTCGCTTCGATTATTGTTTTACCTTATGCCGAGAATTAAAGAATACGTCCTCCAAAGTCAGTTCGCTGACACGGGAAAGATATTTTTCCTGTTCTTGGCATTAATATTGGCAAGCCTAAGTATAGCACATACCCACTCATCGTATCTGCTTTCAATGCCTGAGAAATTATATGCAGCAGTCCGTTTCATCGTTGATGGAGACGACTCAAAACTTCAATCTCTTCGGAAGGAAGATTTGTGGATGAAGAAACATCAAAAGGGAAGCCTCAGACATAATCCATCTTCTTTTATCTCTGCATAAAGTGTTTTGGGAAAATACTGCGGCGTTATGGATCAGCGATTAAACGATACATGATGAACTCTAAGAAAAGTTGGGGATGCGACTGCCGGTCTCTGGCCAATGGCCTCCCCCCACTTGGCGATGTGTTTGTCGAGCCATGTGCCCCTATTTCTACGTCGAAGGACAACACGTTCAACCATGCAGTGCTACACAAGGCATTGACTCTTCGTTTTCCATTCCTGCAAAGGGCTCCATTTCTATTCTGCATCCAACCATGGATAAGAAGGATGAGAGAGCCCGACCGTGATGCTGTTCTGATGGTGCCATGAACTCACCACCTTCAAGGGAATCCGTTGTCTCGAGGCATCCTTTTCCCAAAGTTCTCGCACAACTTGCAAGATAAAGATAAGGTAGGAATGTATTCGACCCTTCGATTGATTCCCGGCTTCCCCTCGAACGCCAAATGGAGACTGCTACTTTGGTGCGCGATGCATCTCCCTCTAGTGGAAGATAATATGGATTATGTGACAGTGAAGACCTCGATATCCATGTTAGTCTTTTAACAAAGTTCGATTACGAAGATGAATACTACTATAGGCTTCAACCCCTTCGATGTTTGGGCCGTTAATTGCAGGCCCGACGTATAGGCCTATGTTGTGACCGAGGAGTTCGTACGGTTTGATCCAACTGGTGATGTCTAAAATCATCTTGGGGATGAGGTCTTCGCCTGATCGATTTAAGCTCGGATTTGGTTAAGATGTGTCTCTTCAGTGAGTCTGCCACCTTTGCCATCGTCGGATTCCTGCACACCAGCTTAGGTCGGGATGGGAAGGAAAATTCGACTAAAGCCCCTCCAAAAATCAAGTTAGTGGAATGCTCTTGTCCAATGTCCTTTCCCTTGTCAAATGTTGGCAAAGGGCTTTTATCATAGTGCTTGGGGGTCGATCGTACACGACTCTCGCACAGTGGTTGACTCACTGAGCGGCAAATGTGTATCTTTGGACGTTCGCCGCCCGAGATATGTGGAATGGTGTCACATGGCATCGTTCCAAGCTTTCCGACACGATCCTTGTTGAGGTGACACTGGTTAGTGCAACCTCAGACGGTGCGAGAGGAGAATAGTTATCATCTCGAATTCCTAGTGGCACGCCCAACGTGGTGCTGCGTCTGCCTCCCGAGGCTCTGCGCTTGGGCTGGCGGGCAAGGGTCGTGTTCACGTGGCGAAATCCATAATATGCCCTATCAGAGAGAATTTAACATATATAATTATCCTAAAGAAATCATGTATTATGAGAATGATCATATTATTTACTGGCTCCTTCCATCATAAAATAGTTACTTTTAGTATTTCAATCTTTATATTTTTTTTAAATTATGTTAAGATATTTATATTTTCAAAGTAAAATATTTAATCTTATAATCTAACAAGACCTTCTCCCTCTTAAATTTTAATCCCGAATCTCAATATTTCATTTTCATATACAAGGATCCCAATGTAATATTTGAAAGTGTAGATATGTTAAAGGATAAATAATTATAGAAGGTACTATGTAATTAATCCTATAAATTCACATAAATATAAATTTTTTCTTATTTTAATTTTTATTTATTTATTTTATTTTAAAAACTCAGAAATTGACTAAAGAAACTGATTGTTCGTTCATATTGCAATGTTATAATTATATTCCTTCTTTTGTGATATAATCCTATTGGCGTTTTACTTCATTTTTAGTGTTTTCAAAAGAATATGCCATATTTTAAAGAATCCAATATTTGGAACCCTCATTGTATTATATTCAATAATATTTATTTAGGTTTTCTGGAGTGAGAGCGTCGATTCAACTCATGTTCTTCATTCGTTCTGTGGGCCCGAGGAAATCGTCCAGCATTCTCTTACCTCTTCCATCGATCTGCCTTCCTTCCTCTTTTATACATTACATCACATCACGACCACGCCGACTGCCACCACTGTAATCTCTCGCTTTCGTTCGTTCTTGATCGTGCTCAGTTGCCCTCTCTTCGCCAGAGATGGTGAAGGAACCTCTTCAGACTGATTGGAAGGAGATGCTCCCCGGAAGAGACGACGGCGGAGGTCGAGGTCGTGGCCGCAGCGCCTGGCGGGAGGGACGCCGCGCCGGCGGAGGCGTCGGAGCTCGCGCATCTTTCCGATCACGTGCTGCGGGACAAGATCTAAAGGGTGCTGAATCATCTCTCGTCGGATATTCGGAGCCGGCTGGTCGATAGCGGCGCCAAGTTGAGGGCCAGCCTCCGCCAGATGCAGACGAGCTCGATCGGAGGAAGTTGTCCCACGTTCCCGAGGTACGCTTAATGGTTCCGTCGATGGATGTGTGCGCAGACTGAGAGGAGAAAGGATTTGAGAGATTTTGTGCCTGATGTCTATGAAGGGAGAGGACGGGGATCGGAATCTAGACTGTGGTAGACGACAATCGGATTGGGAGAATAAGAGGAAGAGTGCGTCGTCTGGGTTTTAAGTTCGGTAGAGCGTTAACGACAATGCGAGAGGATAGGGTTCGGGATCGGAAGTTCTTGAAAATATAGGGTTTCGTGTAGCAGTTTCGTGAAAAGAAGGTATCTTTCTGGTTCATTACTAGAAAGTTATATGAATTGGTGAATTCCATAAGTTGATCATCGTGGACTCGAACAAATGACGGAAGGAGGTCGTAGCAAAAGCAATGGTTTGCTGTTGATGGCGGAAACATCGGTGACGACTTTGTCAGCCCGATGTGGTTCGGGGCGTGTGCACAAGTTGGACGAAGTATCGCCGAGATGCTCCTGAAGGAGTTGGATGGACTGGGGTCGGGAGCGGGTTTCCTGATCCAAACCTTCGGACGGTACGTTAGCTGACCTTGAGGTCAAAAGTAGTAAAAGATGGTTAATCAGTCAAAAATCCTTTCTTACCATGCTATGAATAACCTTTTGTACCCGGTATAAGTAGTAAAGATGGTTAATCACCCAAAAGTCTCCTCTTACCATACTGTGAAAAACCTTTTAGAATGGGTAGAAGAGGAAAGAATATTCCTTGGAATGTTCTAGAGGGTGCAGTGTAAAACTGCCTCACTTGTCCTTATAGGTCCGAAAGGGAGGCAATTTATAATCGATGTGTCGGACTTACGTCCACATAGGCAAACAAAGAGAGGCCAGACTTTGTTTATGTGCCTAACACGACTGCCACACATGTGGACATATGTTGGTTGATTATCGGCCCCATTCCCTTCCCCCCTAAAGATATACTTCGGGAGCTCTCATAGGAGGGACTTGACATCTGGTTTATCCGACATGTTAAGTTTATGTTTCTTCAATTAGTTGCATCAAACGGACCTCGATGGGGGTCGAGGACGCCCGACCTTTGCGTGTCGGGCGAACGCCAATATTAGGTCAACTCTGATACCAATTTATCATAACCCGACCTGATGGGATAACTGATATGTCAACTTCGTTAAGCTCAAACCATTAATCAAAATGATTAAGTTGAAATTAATATTAGTATACCCATTAGACCCTTATAAATCATTTTAAGTTTCAATCTACTTCCGATGGATTTAACCATGGTGTCATAGTCTAATTCTCTTTGTTTTTCTATGGCAAAATATTTTCTCTTTTGTTTCATTTTGGTTTTTCACAATTGAATTTTGTGATGGTACTTATTTTACTTTGGTTTATTTTGGACATTTGTCACACCACCAGAGCATACTAAATGTGCCAATTGTCTCGAGCAAGGAGTGTCATGCCCTGACGTGGGGTTTATTGATACTTCTATAGTTCTATGTCATGATGCAATTCAATGTCAAATTAGTTGGTATTACCCTGTGCTGATTGTCATTTGCCAAAATTTGACCTAGCCACATTAATAACCATGGCATTTATCTGCATGGTGCTAATACCTTTCTCGTATCCTATGTTTTAAATTTGCTGAAATGTCTAATCAGCATGAATTTCCTTCTTGAGAATTGGTACTCGGTCTTGTATTGTGCTGGGAGTATAATACACCCTTTGCAAGATAGTTAGCTTGTATCGGTTGACATGAGTCTTAAGGCTGGTGCCATACCATTCCATTTTGTATGCAGAAATAACTATACAGGCTTATTCTTTACAGATGTGTATAAATTATGCTAAATTTCCACTTAAATGTCAAGCTCTATAACTCAGTGTTACAGCAAAGGGATTACTCTAACCTTCATTTGAGTCACCACCACCATGCTTGTCTTCATGCTGAAGTTGCAGTGTCACAGTTTGATTGCCTGCAGAAATAAGTTTACAGGCTTATTCTTTACCACCGTAGATATGTTAACTCCTGAAGACGTAGTGAAATGTTTGCACCCACCACCTGTAGCTGGTTCATCCAACTCCATGTCTTCCATTGTTGTCGAGGTTAAGCTTGTTGCTGTATCTGCATCTAATGCACCATAGACAGAGTCAACCAACTTGCCGATTGGTCGATGACCTATTTCCTAGTAATGAATTGTTGCTTTACCTGCATGTGCTTCTTTCTCATCTTTCTTTTCCTTCGGTGCCTGTGGAAGTATTGCTGCTTCTTTACCTACCATTCAAGTCTAATTACTCTAAGCTGGAGATTTACCAAGACATTAGATTCACCTTCACTTGATGAATACAAATAGCATTCACCTCCTTGAAGTGACTCAATCGCTTAGCTGTGCTTCCTCAAATGAAAGAGGTATACTTGGAAATCCACCTGTATCAAGTGCATCTTAAACTCCATAGATAACTAAGAATAGCCTCTATTGACATATGTACAAGTAGAAGCTGGCAGATTTCCAGAATAAGCCCAATCTTGTTCCTATTCTAAATCTCTGCCCCAAATCTGCTCCTGCTTGTTGTGCAACTCCAGCATATGGAAATTAAGATGACCTGATCCAAATTGCAACTCCAACCAAACTTTATCTTCATCTTCAATCATTGTGCGTGTTTCCAATTCAAAAGCCACCAACAGGTCAACTTCTGCGAGCAGTTCCAATTGTTCAAACCTACATCTCTTAATCAACTAATATAGGTAGCATGGAGTCATCATGCTTCGAAATTCATTGCCATTAGTGCACAAAGGATAGGTCAAGGATTGGTATGGTCTTACTGCAAACCAGATGAGAGGAATTCAGTCGAACACCTTGTGAGTTGCATCTTTAATCCCAAGCATAGCATGTGTAGACTCTTAATTAGAACGCTAAGCTGAAGAGACTAGTGAGTACAAGAGTTATCTTTGCGTGCATCTTTAGATAACACAGCTAAGCAGAAGAGTTTCCTACAGTTCATATATATTTAGAACGCTAGCTTGCTAATGCAAGAGTTGGCGTGTATGTGATATGTATTAATAGAAGGCTTTTGTTTCGTTTTCTGAAAGGAACATGTACAGTACAGCTGGGTTCTAGCAATCTCTTTATTCCTTCATGAAAGTGACCTCCTTATCTCTTGTTTCTGCATGTGTGTGTGTATATGGCATTGCCTTCTGAAACTGTCGCTTCTATATATACGTCAATGAATAAGAAATTTCTCGTAGTTATAATAGCTCAGAATGTCACGTGCTAGTGACTATAATATATCTTTGTAATGTGAGACCAGTGCACAGTAATTTGAATTTACCGGCTTAATAGATATGGCCAGGGGCCCAGGGCACAGAATAGCAATTCTTGTCTTCTGCTTTGCTTTTAACACTTTTATGAAATCTAACTTTGTCCATAAGAACCAATGTGAGACCAGCGCACAGAATAGCAATTCTTGTTTTCTGAGTTGCTCTGCATTGCTTTTAACACTTTTACTAAATCTAACTTTTGTTTAATTTCTTGATGATACAAAGTTAGGTAGCATTCACATTCATGTTTGTATATGTTGAGCAGTGGCTTGTTTTAGGTACCTGCAAAGGCCCTCATCTGTGGCTGAATGACCAAGAGGAGACTATCATTTTTTCAATACCTACTTTTACAAGAAACTTAAGGAAGCTGTTTCACTCGAAGGATCATTTTTTAAAAAACATGTTGAGATGATGATTTTGTAGTCTGGTGTTGCTAAATTAACTAGCTGTTTTAAGTATGGCAAGCCTTTTCAAAGACCTCTTGTGAACATCTACAAGAAGACTTTAAATAACGATCCATTGTTTTTCGAATTATTGTGTTTATTCAAGTAGAATCTTTATGGTTTTTCAGTCAAATTCAACTTTCTGCCGATTAGGCTCTTGTAGTGTTTAACAACATTCTCTGTAGTTGTGCAATTCAGCTTCCTTTGATGAATGCCTGCTTGTCATATAGTAAGCACACCATGGTTCCTCTTGGGCAATGCATTTTATGTTCTTTATGTCTGTTCATTATTTCTTTTGCTTGAATTTGTATTTTTACCTTAGGTATGACCAAATGGTTTTGGTCTGGGAAGATGATCAACACAGAGAGCAGGCGTGTGTGTGTGTATGTGTGTGTGTGTGTGAGAGAGAGAGAGAGAGAGAGAGAGAGAGAGAGAGAGAGAGAGAGAGAGAGACAACAAATGCCTAAATTGTACATAGTAAAAAAATTATAATCAAATATACATGTATTAGTTGCTATGAACTGCCATGCTGTGCCCTATTTTTACAATATTTTCCATGTCATTATACCCATATCTTGCCATGTACATGTCATGTTAGTGTCCATGCTTTATGTATGGTTTTGAACTCTATAACATGAAATATGGGATTCTCTATAAACCTAATATGCAGAAGCTAATTGCAGATATTTGAAGCAGGAATGAAACTACATAAATGAGAAATCTCTTCCTCTAGATCTTCCTAGTTCAGAAAAGATATGGAGACATATTTCATGTAGAATTGACAAGAAAAAAGTCATGGTAAATCTCTGCTATTGAGCTAGGAGAAATTATTAAGTATCTTTATCTTCTATTGCCTGTTTATCATGTCAGTTCCTATACTGTTTCTGCTATTTTGCTCCATCATAGAATGTAATTTTTTTATTTAGTTATACATCAGAACATAATATGTTGAGACAAGATTCTTGTGTTTCTTACCATTTTGTTGTTCTGTGGTGAGTATTTACTCATTTTCAAACCTGATATTAGTTATGACCCCTTTCTTAAATGAGATATAATAGTTGTCTTTATTCATGCAGTTGCTGATGCTTCCATTTTGGTGTATGAATAATCTGGGTGTAGGTGTAAATGAAGTTTACCTACAAGTGTTGCATGCACTGTATCATTTCTGACAAAGTTCCTGTCCAAGTGTGTGTGCATGTGTGTAACCATTTCAAGAACATCTAGGCAAAACTTGGAATTGTCATGAACTTTAGAAGGCAAATGTAGTTCAGTAATATTATCAGGTTGAAAATTAGAGAAACAGATGCTCAGTGTGGGGGTGTTGTAGAATGAAAAAATAGTGCATTAATTAGTATTTAAATGATGTAGAAGATTAGAGATCATGTGGCTTCTAGGTTTACTAGTACCAGTGATTTATTAATATTACTGTTCATAAGTTAATAAAAGGAATAATTTGAATTAGGTTTTATGTGTTGACATTATATACTTGTGTCTTCAACCTATGCTTTGTGTTTCATTCTTCTCTTTTGTTTCTGGTACACTGCAATATATTAGCTCCATGAGAGCTAGCTGATATTTTACGAGTTTACCCACGGAAGATGATTGACATGAAGCTTTGATTGATTGACAACCTATTTGATTGACAGACATGATGCGTTGGAATCAGCTTAGTAGAGGCAGAATCTGGAGGAACAATAGTGATGAACACCCACAAGGCTGTAACCAGCATCGTGGTTCATTGATCTTTACCTCACCCCATCAAGATTATTTAAAGCGACGCAGGAAAGCAGGCCTTGGAAGAACAAACAGCAAGCATATGGCTCTTGGTTTGCTCTGTAATAATCCCAAGGTGGGGGGAGGGGTAGGAATGCCGGGGAGTGAAATGAAGCTTCCAAACATCTACTGTGGCTGTAGCAGAGCCATTTTCCATGTGCTCGACGTTTTGCTTGATGCATGCATGATAGGGGGACAGAGACGCTGCTGTATTTGTAGGCAGGCTGGCTAGGCAAGCTTCTCCAGCTTAAACAGATATGGTGGTGACAAAGAAATCGCGAGCTCGATGAGAAAGCCTTATCTATTATGCTCTTGTATTCGTCATGTCGTTCGGACAAAGGTTGTTAAAGCTGTCAGTCAGCTTGCTCTCGTGGTCGTCATGTCGTTTGGACAAGATTGTTAAAGCTGTCAAGTCGGCTTCATTCTGGAATGCACGTGCCTCTGCGACCACACAAGCTTGGGCCGACGCACGCCACGTCCATGATGCGGTCGGTATATTCCTGTGGGCATTTAAAGGTTGGGCCGGACCCACCCACCACCGCCCACAGGATGATGATAGCCGAATGCTGGCAATGTCTCCACTTTGTTCTCTGCCTTCTTCGCTTCGAATTAGAGTTCCATCAAGTGGCACCCAAATGATGATGGTCTCCTCCGCTTCGTTCTCTGCCTGCTTAACCGTTCGAGGCCATCTAGGAGGCCGCCATAAATATGGCGAGCTCCACCTGTCTGCCGAAGGCCAACAACATCCATACACAGACAGCGATAACATTTCAGATCACCTTCGGAGCCTCTGAAAGATGTTATTATTGAGTTCTCATCGATGAGTACCATCAAACTAGCAAGCAGCTCGGCGACAGAGAATACTAAAAAGATTCCATGAATGGTAAACACATTGGATACCATAACATGATGGTTAATGCCACACGTCCCCACCTTTGTCTGCCTGACAGTCCTCTTCATGAGTAATTTACCAGCTGCCACTTTGTCTCTGCAATGCACATGAAGATGTAGCCTTGTGCTTCTTCATGTCCACATAAGATGATAGGCCATAGAAGAATATTAATGCGTAGGTGTGGTAACCAGAGTACAAGTGAGAAGCCAAGTTATACACATGAAGATGAATGTCTTTACATCATCACATAAAGAACATACTCTAGATGCATTGCTATAATATCTCAGCTCTGCATCGACATTTGCAATTGATTGTGCAAATTGCTGTGTCTCTTCCAAGTTTAAACATCCCCAGAGCAATGGCTTGCTGCTGATCAAGGGCCTCGGTACCTGCCGAAACACCCGCAACATCCCTGATGTTGCTGATCTGGAGGTATCATACCTCCCCCCTTTGATGTATCAATGGCTTCCAACATGGCTACCACTTCATCCATCTCCGGTCGTCTGTCAGGGTTTGCATCCCAGCAGGTTTTCATCACATTTGCCAGAGAGCTCGGGCAACAACGTGGTATCTCTGGCCGCAAGTTCTGCGAATTTAAGGATGATCAGTTGTGATCCTACCAGCACCGTAGCGGTTGGACTTTGGGAGAAATGCATACCTGCCGCACGACTGCAGATGTGATCTCGGAAAAGCTAAGGTCAGGATATGGCATATCACAGCAGTATATCTCCCACAGGCAGATACCAAAGCTATAAACATCACATTTTCGATTATAAGGGTTGCCATTAAGGACCTGCAAATGTGTCACTACCATGTTACTGCTTCATGGTTAAACAAGACAATGGAGTAATTAAGACAAACCCTTATGTCACTGAAATGTAATCTTTAACAAAGAACAGATTATGCTGTACTTGTACCGAGCTACATTCATTTCACCTCCCTTTTCTCTCTCATTCTTCCATCTCAAGGAAAGCTCCATTTCGATTCTTCTCTATTTTGTCCATCATTTTGTTTGTGTGTCTGTCTAGATGAATCTTTCTTTATCAACAAACCTATTAGTTTCCTAACAAAATTAAGGAGAAGCTTTCTTTCAGTTTGTTTCTGTCAGATTGACTTTTTCTTCTTTTCTAGCATGCAATCATACATGGTGCAGACAACATGTATACAGCATTCTGTTATCTGTGTACACAGCCAGAAACTACCTTTCACATTCATATATGTGTAATTATTTCCTTGTTACAAGCGTCTAAGTTAAGACAACCTAATATGTCATCTTGATGCCATGAACTCAAAAAGTAAAAAAACCATAGCATATCATTGCATGTTTATCATAAGCAAATCTTTCTTTCAAGACAGCATTTCAACATAGGAGCAATGTATTGATACAACACACAATCTAGATGAGTTGATCTTTACTGATTATGACAGCTCCACAAATAGTTCATGCTGCTGAAAAATGTACTGGAAAGAAAATAGAGAAAAAAATGATGGTGTTTAACGTCACAAAAGGGATCTTATACCTCTGGTGCCATGTAACCAAGGGTTCCTGTCTCACCCGTCATGTCATTAGGATTTTGAGCCTCAATTCGAGCAACGCCAAAGTCAGCAATTTTCACTCTTCCTGTTCTATCTAGAAGCATATTTTCTGTCTT